TTATTGTTAGACCGGTCCAGCCGATGCATGCGGGACCGGCCCATGCGTGGACAGAGGCGTGATTCTCGGCCTTTAGCGCATGTCGCGGAGGCCGCAAGCCTTGCGGGAGCCAAATTGGAAAGATTTTTTGGGTGGGGGATTAAGAGGGAATTTTGAATGTAGGGACTATTTAGGGATTTCCTTTTTGATTTTTATGCATTAAATACTTTGTTTTCCTAGGGTTAGGGCATCTGGAATTTAGCTGAAATTTGAGATCTCTTAGATTTAGGTTTTCTTTGGGCTCTAACGGTGTCTAGAAATTTGGGAGAGATCGACCCTCCTCTCGAATTGAGAATTTCTCGCTATTTTACAAAGATTGATAGGAAATACTTGAGTACTTGACATCTACAAGTGTTTCCTATCATAATATTTGTAATCATCAAAATACAAGATCGGGCTCCCAAATTGCAATAAACACTCCATCTTACAGTCCATATTTATCCATTTGATATAGATTATTTATTAAATATTTGACTACTTTAATGATTGTAGAATCGAATGATATTGGGTTAGATTCATCTCATCAAGCTGTTTGATATGATTATAAGCATGTTGTAATTGAAGATCATTTGGACCATCATTAATGTTCAAAAATTTCAAAAGATAATTCATGCTCTTGATTTGAGATCTTTTGGAGTCAGATTGGATCATTTGTAGCATCAATAGGTTTGTCTTGTTAACATTTTTGGTTCTACTATAAGTTTGCATAAACGGAGTTCGAATGATCTTGAATTTAACTTCGAAAGTTTTTAATTCAAATATTGCGTTGAGATTCATGCCAATCATATGAATTTTCTGGAGTCATATCTAACCTAAATATTCAATTGTAAAATATTCATAGAAGATGCAGTAAAATTAAAAAGTACTATCATATTAGGTAGGGATATCAAAATGGGTCGATGGGTCGGGTTCGGGTCGAACCCGAGTTGACCCCTGGTCTAAATGGGTCAACCAAAATCCGACCCAATTTTGCAAACGGGTCAGGTATTTCAACCTGAACCCGACCCGTGTGGGTTACCAGGTTGACCCGACATGGTCCGCAGACCTGTTTAGTTGAAAAAATAGTTAAACGGGTGAGTGTGACGTCAGGCTAGGCGGTGCCGATGCAGCATGTGGCCTGCAGGTATGTGGTCGATGTCAACTTGCTGCCTGTTAGGTCGCGCGAGAGTTGTCAGATGAGCCATGAGGCAAGGCGGGCAGGGCTAGCCAACGACAGCGATGGTCGATGGACTAGACACGGTCTCGTGACCAAATGGCGAACGGACTGACGGTCTCATGACGGACGTATGCAACTGGGTCGACGCACAACAAACAGAGTGATAGACACGACGGGCTAACAGGAAGATACAACAGACGTGGAAAATGGTTGGCATCTTCGGATTTCTTGGGTCAAATCGGGTTGATTTTGGGTTTCTGGGTCAACCCGAACCCGGCCCAATTTGCAAGCGGGTCGAAAACTCAAACCTGAACCCAACCCGTATGGTAAACGGGTTGACCCGAACGCGGAATTTTTTGGGTCTGGTTCAAATTGTGTTTCGAGTTCTGTTAGATTTTTACATCCCTAATATTATGAGATATCCTTCATAGTTCATTGAATCGTATAAAATATCTACCTACCTCGGTGGACCCTATACCTCATATCAATTGCCTTGATGGTACAAATTCAGACTCTCTTATAAGTCACCTTGTGAAAATTGAACACGTTGTGATATGAATCTTTGATTCCTCAAGTGCATATCGAGGTTAAGCATGATCAATATAACCTAAAGAATTATCTCTTTGAACTATCTTGGCCTCTTAAGCCAATTTTCAAAGATAACATTGCTTGTAATCAAGCTAACCATTAGGCATTCCCAAGTAGCAGCAAGATGACTCCTAACCTTGACCCTAGGGGAGTTGCCAAAGCCTATATAATGGTGGATAGGACACACTAACTCATATAACATGTTTAGGGATCTGGTGTTATGGATTCACCAAGATATTTGGTTTAGTATTTGTGTAAGGCTCTTCTGATCATTTACATATTATAATACAGACCACCTACCATCTGTTCGTAGAGTGGATTCAAAACTCTAGAGATTCCCCTGGATACCTTTGTGGGGTTCTTCTATCTGAAGGGAACATGGATCTATTATTTGTAGGCTACATTATAATCCATAAGTGTCATCTACATCCTCAGACTAGGCCACAAAGGTTTCCCATAACATACAAACCCATGTGTTTGAAGGTTTCCCACAAAGGTTACATTCTCCTCTGGTGAGCCTAAACTCATCTTGGATAGATTAATTGTCTATGCCAATGCCACTAAGCAAGAGACAGTAACATATTAACAACTCTAATTGCACTCAACGATGTGCAGTGCCTCTTAGTTAGCTTCTGTATGAATCGATTGAGTCCAATGCACTGAGCATTTGATGGCCATATCTTTGAAATTATTACATGGTCAGCCATGCTGGTCCCCTTAGACCTTTTTTATCCTAGATAAATGATGCAAAACAATCCATGCGAAAATGATTTACTTAAGAAAAATTTGCACGCTTAGATTTAGAGGTGATAATAAGCAAGATCTTATGCGGAATTGAACGATAAGATAAATATTAAATGGTACTTAGCTTATGTTAAATCACATGAATAAAAGTTAAGTTCAAAAGATAGCCAACTTAATCCGACATTGCATACATGGATCGTTCAAACAATAAATTCCAATACTAACAATAAGATTAGTCTATGAAGGATCCCTCACACAACTCTTCCTATTACTAGGTTCTAGCGGCGAATAATTGACATGATCTTCATGAATCCGTTAATAACCATAAACGAAGAGTAAACTAGGAAGATAAGAGCGTTAGGAGAAGAGTTTCACCCAAGGAATGAAGTTATACAGCGTTCCGGTGGTGCTTTGTTGGTTGGATCGGAAGTAGGTGGCCTGGAGCAGATTCCGGACAGCAATTTTGGTTCTCCAGGATGCTGGATAGCAGTTTTCTGGGCTCCAAAATTCTGGACAGCAACTGGACAGCAGCAAGGAGGTATTCTTGGGCAGTTTTCTTGTTGATTTGGGCACTCCTGGACATCAAACGGGAGCTCCCAAATTGTTGGACAGCAAAGGAAAATTGCTGGAAATCTCTGGGCTGCAATGGGGACTATTCAATCAGCAGATCAGCGGGATGAAATTGCTGATTTCTCAGTTCTGAAGGAACAGGTGGCTGGCGGGATATTCCTGGACTGCGAAACAGGAATCTCTGGACTGTGGGCCAGCTGCTGGGTGAAGGCAGAAAATTCCTCAGTAGATCACGGACTAGGGAAGAGTGATATTAGGGAGAAACCTTCCAAACGGAAACCTGAATTTATTTCAAATTAATTTGAATAGGTATTTGCATCTTAAGATCCAAATAAAGAGGAGGATTAATGCTCATTCAATGGAGAGAGCCAAGAGGGGGGCCGGCGGCATTTATGAGGGGGTAGGGCTTGGGAAAACTGAAAGGAATTTCAGTTTTTAAGTGAGAATGGAGGGAATTATTTTGAAATTAAGGTTTGAATTTCAAAATAGGGAGGGGGATTAATTGGGCAATTAATGGGAAGCTCAATGAAGGGGCCGGCGGCATTAATGGGCAAGAGGGAATGTGGGGATGAGGTGTCATGCTTGCCTAACTGTAAATTTAGGATTAGGAAAGTAATTAAACAAATCCATTTGAATTTGAAATTCAAAAGAATTGATTTAAGAACTTTCCAAAATTGGAATGACAAATTAGGAAAGATTTCAAATTCAAATTCGTTGGATTTGATTTTCGAAAATCTGTCCAAAGATTAAATTACCCAAATTAGGTAAGGATTTCAATGGGGAGAAGGAGGTGGATGGTGGCCGGCGGCTAGAGCTTGGGCCGGCGGTATGAGGGGTCGGGTGGAGTGTCGGCCGTGGGTTGAGGAGGTGGAGCTAGGGGAAATACTTAGGTGGATGAAGAGGGGAGAAAGGAGATGAACAAGAATATACGAGAAAGATAGAGATAACTAACAAACTCACACAGAGATCGTAAGAACCGTGAACCTCAGACTCTTCCAAAGATTGACGGGTATTGCGAATTACCCTCTTCGGGCTTCTCCTCTCATGAACTCACTAAGAGATCACGTGAACTCACTAAGAGATCAACAAGAACATAAAACTTTTCATTATCAATCATCATCCCTTTTCCAAGAGGAAGGGGAAGGCTTAAATAGCCAAATACATGAAGGAAAATAAAAAGACACAAATGCCCCTAGGGCCATATAAGACAAAACCCTCAAGTGAGGGTATAAATGAAAAAGTATAAATAACAAATAAAATACATCAAAATAAGTAGACATGATCGTAGCCATTGATCTTCGATGTCCTCATCAATAAAATTTGAAGTTTTCTTTTAATAGGTTCAACCTTTTACATTCTACCACGCCTATCTACTTGGATTATCTTTGATCTAAGGCAACCCATGGGTGTCAATTAAATTTCTTATACAATGCAGCCATTTTGGCTCCCTTATTGGTTAGATTGGATTTGCCATGTTGACCTTGGATGATGGAACCATAGAATTTTGATCGAGTAGGTCATCCATTCCCAACATTTCATATATAAACCCAACCTCTGATCATGTATTCAGAGCATAATGATACCCTTAATCGAGAGTGTTTTTGGCATTGAGCTCAAGATGTAACTAACTATGGGAGCTTGCCCTATGGTAATCCTTGATCTTACTAAAACTTTGGTTTGCCTCGTCAGTTAGCCAAGAAAAATCTATTGGATCTTAATTTAGTCTGCCTTTGAAACTTCATATTGTTCAATTATTTTTTCCTCGGGCTCCAAAAGTGCAAGAAGAAAATGAATCATACTAGTTACTGAGCACCTTTCAAAGCCCACCAAAAATTTCTTTTTGAGTTTCGTTTTTTTTTTGCAAATTGTTATTGGGGAATCTTTGACACATTGTTTTGAACAGTGTCGCAAAGAAGATACGGAAAATGGACGAAACAATTGCCAAAGCCAAACAATGTTCTATCGATTGCAGTAATGTTGACAGGAAGCTAAGGCAGATTCTTGATCTGGCTGAGAATGAAGTTCATTTCCATATGAAGCAGAGTGCATTCCTGTATAACCTTGGTGTGCAGACTATGCCCAAAAGTCTGCATTGCTTGTTTATGAGATTGACTGTGGAGTGGTTCAGTTCTTCATCAGAAGACAGAGGATTACATGCTCAGAAAATTGGAGACCCAAGCTTTAGACATTATGTGGTTTTCTCTAGAAATGTTCTTGCAGCATCAGTTACTATCAATTCAACAGTGATGAATTCAGAGGTATCTTATTTTGATCCCTTTTTTTTTCAATGTCAGATCTAAATCATGTCCATTTTGATGTTGATGGCCTCTCACCGTGTTTTGCAGGCAACAGAAAATATGGTTTTTCATTTGATAACCGATAAGCAGAACTACTATGCTATGAAATATTGGTTCAAAACGTCTTCTTTCAAGGAAGCATTCATTCATGTTATAAATATTGATAAATTCAAAATGGTTCGCCCGCATAGTTTAGCTCTTCCACCACTCTCTTTCTCTGAGGAGTTCCGGATTACAATGCACAACATGAATAAATCCTCAACTGTGCCGATGAAAACTGAATACATGTCAGTTTTTGGCCACTCACACTTTCTTCTTGCTGAAATATTCAAGAATCTGAAGAGAGTGGTGGTTTTGGATGATGATATGGTGGTTCAGCAAGACCTGTCACCCTTGTGGAACCTGGACATGGAAGGGAAAGTAGTTGGAGCAGTAGAATCCTGTGGTATGACATTGGATCATCTAAAAGCTTACATGCCGAGGAACAAATATGATCCTGATTCCTGCGTATGGATGTCTGGACTGAATGTGGTAGATTTGGCAAAGTGGAGAGAGAAAAATGTTACTGGCATCTACAATAAGTTCATATGGAAGGTAAAATATTAAAAGTTTTATCACATCTATTCTATCTGAATTGTGCTTTGTTTATACTTCAAATAATAATTCACCTAATATTTCACCACAACAACAAAAACAACATCAAGCCTTTATCTCACTACGTGGGGTCTGCTACATGAATCCTTTTTCTCCATTGTGTCCTATTAAAAGTCACATTTTCATTTAAATCTAATAGAGAAAGATCATTTCTAATATTTTCTAACCAAGTCTTTTTAGATTTGTCTCTACCTTCTTAACATGAGTCAAATCTAATACCTCTACTTTTCTAACCGGGTCATTGGAAGGCCGTAATTTATGTGACCAAACCATCTAAGACGACTCTCTCTAATCTTATCTTCTACCGGAGCTACTCCAACCTTTTCATTTGCAGACTTAAATGGGTCACCCGCATAGTTTATCTTCTCTAATATTTCACCAATCTTAACAATTTATTTGAGTCTGCAAATCACGAAGTTTAAAGTAAGATTGTTTCTTTTGCACTTGATCTGAATGATGTTATATTTGTTGACCAAGTTTGCAACACAAACCATTAAATGATTGATGTCTAATTAATTATGTTGTGGTTGATTGTTTCATGGACTATTATTATACAAATACAAGTTATCCCTTCAATTAATTCTTAAATATGTATCCCTGGAATCTTCTTCTAAAGATAACAAACTTGTGCAAAATCTTCAGTAAGGTATAATCCATGCGTTTTCAATGGCTTCCTTTTTAGCAGATGAAAATTACGAGTGAAGCATCATGGAGAGCTTCAATGCTTCCTGCAAGCTTAATGGCATTCCAAAATCTGGTTTACCCATTAGACAGTTCATGGACTCTATCTGGGCTTGGTTATGACTATCGGATCAGTGCTGCTGCTGTGAAAGATGCAGCTACGCTACACTACAATGGAAATATGAAGCCTTGGCTTGAACTGGGCATACCAATTTATAAAAGGCACTGGAAGAAATTTCTCATGAAGGGGGACCGGTTCATGAATGGCTGTAATGTAAACCTATAGTATATGAATGCAAAATTTCAGGTTCGATAACTTGATTTTTTAGAGCTGCCAATTTTGAGTGCATGAAGGATTTATATCACAGATCAGAGGCAGATAACTTCCATAATAAAGGGAGGAAGAGCCTTGTTTAACTGGTTTCTTCAATTTGAACTACTATTACTTTCTGATTACTGGGAAGGGATAACACTGGTGCAACCATAACGCTGGGAGTTGCACAAGAGTTTCTATTCAGAGGTCACTGTTCTGTAAATGTTTTTCAAGTTTTTTCTGATATTAGTCAATTGATTCATTCATTTCTGAGTAAACAACCCAATTGTTATTTGGTGGTCCGCCTTAACTGATTTTGGCTGTATGTTACTAATGCCCTCTTTTCCCCCATCTCGTAAGCATTTTCCCACCCACTGCCAGAAAAATAATAATAATAAAATTCATTTTTTTTATCAATTGTTCTTAGCGATAGATTCTGATTAAAGTTAGATGCAATTTTTGTTAGTCTGTGTGAAATATGATTGTGTCGATCAATCGGATTTTACTATTACCTCATACCTCAGTTTAATTTGTCATGCTCACTGAGGGTGCGGGGGTCCATCCCCCTGTTTGGGTTTGGGTGCTTTGCACCAGAAATTTGTTTTTTTGTTTTCTATAACGCTCTGATGCTATGTACTAAAGTGCCCCAGTGTTGCAGAGTTTGCTAGAAAAAATGACAAAGAGCATAGCGTCGTAATGCTCTAGATTCGGTGCCATAGTGTTGTGTAGTGCTGCAACGCTGCGGTTTTGATCATCACAATATCATTACACAGATTATAATCAGAGATTTGAGCGTTGCAGTGCTCCAAACTGACGACCTGACAGTTTTTCTTTCTAGTTTTTCACAAGGTTGGCATCCCTTGCTGTTATTTGACTTTCTCTTTTGTTTAGAGGGTGATAATGGTGTAAGAGAGAAGAGAAGTAATGAGAGAGCGAGATAGGAGAGATCTATACCAATTTCTCCTCATTTTTATAGTGGATTTTTTGGTGTGGTGTGGTATCGTATTTTTTTCCCGATTTTGATTTTTCCATGTTAAATCCTACTATCCTATTACTTTCTAGTGCCTTTATTTTATTATTTGTTTCGTCACGTGATTTACTTCCTTCCCCAAAAGTTTTTTTTTTCATATGAAAAGAAGTTCATGCTTTGTCAATAGTGTTTCCATGTAAGTTCTAGAAATCTATTACTTCTTTTTGGAATCTTATTATAAGCTCTGGTGGTCTTGTATTCCTTTGAATCCTCTATTTTGCACAGTAGAAGAATTTTTTTGATATGATCATTCTGTAAGTTATGGATTAGTTTTTTACCTTTCAGCTGAAACGTTATGTTGTTCGTGACTTATTTGCTTCTACAATGCTTGCATATTTGAAACCTTCTGTCTGCCAATGGAGGAATGTTTCTTTTATGGTTATGGGAACTCTTCATAAACCCCTATAATACTCATAATAAACTAATTGTAATCAGGAAGTAACGTATAGTTTTATAGTTATGTGTGAGTAATTTAGATTTTGTTTGGGACAGATTTTTTATTGCTTTTCAAAGCAGTTTTTCAGTACATAATTTCTTTTAGTAGAAAATTTTATGCTAAAAAATTACTTTATAAAGTATTATGAAAATTGTTCTAAACGAAGCTTTAAACTCGATAATATATGCGACACTCATTAGTCTAACTATATGCTCAATATTTATTTGGTCAATCTTGTAACTATAGGATGCAATTGTGTTAAATGAAAAGACAAAGATGTGGATAATGAAATGACTATAAAGTTAATTACATAAATTTATAAAGTTATTTCTTATAAAATAGCAAAATATATGCCTACAAATAATGATATAATAGTACATTGAATAAATTTATGTAATATGTGAGATGATATATCTTTTATGTACAAATAATTTTTTTTCATACTTTATATAAGATAATGAATGTATGTTGCATTTGTTAAAAGAATATGAGAGCGTAAAAGACAAGATGAATAAAAATTTGAGGAAGCTTAAATAAAAGAAGATGAGAGCAACCCCGGTCCCTCGTGGCCTCACACGCCCCCTTCAGCCCGAACGATTATTAGGTCCGGACATCAGACGTAGCTCTGCATCCGGAGGCTAATAACATGTCGCCATGTGCTCTTACTCTTTTTCCCCGGCTCGACGACCTGACCTGGACCGGAACCGGTATTGCTATGTTCGGGTATTTCTAAATATTGCTAGGTACTGCTTGAAAATAACAAGAAATACCGCTATGTCAATATTAATACCTAGCAAAACCAGGGTATTGCTCGGTATTGTTAGGTAATGGTCTTGATAGAATAGTATTTTTCGTTATTGCCGAACAATATCGAGCAATACCTAGCAATATCCCGGTCGGCACAAATCAGTCAATACATAGTAATCCCGGGTCCGGTCCGGGTAGGATCGTCAGACTGCGCGGTAAAAAGTAAGAACAAGTTGCATCATTTTACTGACGTCCGAACATAGAGCTATGTCAGGACACCGGACCTAATAAAAATTCCCTTCAGCCCTCTGCTTTCCCCTTCTTCTTCTCCGGTTAGACCGCATTCTCTTCCTCTCTCTGTCGCACGAGATCCAGCTCGCCGCGGCGCCGCCTTCCTCGCAGCCGCTCAACCTCCGATCTCACTCTCACCTGCACGCACCTCCAACTAGATACCTGCCTCCTGCTTCCTCAACAGCCAGCTCCATACCAGGCCGCCGCTCCCTCCAGACGCCGGCAATCGCACCGACTCGACGCCTCAAACCTGCCGACCGAGCCAACTCCAGCACCGGCCGAGCCCCACCGCACATCCCTTCTCTTCCCCCATCTCTCTCACACTCGCTGCAGCTCCTCGCCGACATCTTCATCCCAAACTAGCCGCTCTTCTGCCTTTCTCTCTATCTCCTCCTCACTTGCTCTATCTACATTCTCTTCCCTTCCATCCTCTTTCTAAACAAAGAGAAAAGTCTCTCTCTCTCTCTCATTTATTTTAGAAGGAAGCAAATTAAGTCCAAGAATTGATAAGAAGAGTACTTTTAATAAAAAATTTGAGGAGTAAATTCATTAAATAAAATAGCAGGTTTAGAATGCACCAAAAGAAGTGCTGTATTCTGAATGTTGTATTTTGATTAATGAGGCATTCAACTAAGAGAGAAAGAGAGAATGGCTGGAGGAGAGATTACTAGGTGAGGAGTGTGGATGGGGAGAACCGTTCGCATAAGTATTTGGTACCTAATGATACCCGCACTCGGTACCGTTGGATATCACTAGGTACTCAATACTTGTGCGAACGGTGCGCACTCCGCACCTAATAATTTTTCTAGCTCGAGAGGGGGCGGGGGAGAGAAATGAAGGGAAATAGAGAGTGGAGGGCGGGAGTGGGAAAGGGTGGGAGAGAGAAAAAAAATTTAATTTTTTCTTTGAATTTAAAATTTATTTTAAATCCTACAGAAAAACTTAAATAAATTTAATTTTGATATTTATTATGTATTTATAACTATTTTTTTATTTAAATGTTTTCCTTAGAATTATTAAATAAAAGCAAAAAAATCATTTTTCCCACCCTCTGGCTTCTTCCCTCTTTCTCTTTCCCCTTGTTTTGCCTCTTCCACCACGGTTTCTCTCTCCCCTTTTCTATATGAATTGAATATGTCAGTCAAAATAGCGCATTCATAATGTAAAAATGTAAAACTTTTTTCCTCCAAATTCTTACAAAATCTAATTGCATACTTATCCTGTTGAGTGTTTAGGATTTGTAAAGTTAATTTTTGCAATGAAAACTTATTTCAATAAAATAAATATTAAAATGTAAAACTTTAATATTTTGAGTTGAAAAAGTTAAACTCGATGTATTTCATTACAATGTAATTAAGATTAAAAAAAATCAAACAAAATTATTATTATTATAAAAAATCATCTCCCTCCTCAATCTGCATGATCTTAATTTACTCCTCTTGTACACGAAATTGGTTGCTCTACAATAGAAAATAATATAAATAGGAAATTATATTTTATAAAAATTTCAAGAAGAATATTTACCTTCTTAAAATACCTCTTTTTTAACTCCATCTGTTAACTTTATTTTCAAATTTCCTCACTTTTTACTACGAAGAAAGTAAATGGCTCACCATTATCTCAGGGAGAAAGTGAAATGGTTGTAGTAGCTATTCCAGTTTTTATGCAATGGAGTTGATATGTGTGGTTTGTTGTTTGTCTGAGTTCTATATAGCTTCAGTTTGGTAAGACAGGAATGAAAAAAAAAATTGATAAGAATGTTGAAGATATTAATAGAAAAGTACCACTCAAATTTAAGAAAAAATTCTATAAGATGATTGTTAGACCTATAATATTTTGTGGCGTAAAATATTGACTTTTAAAAGAGAAGCATAATATTAAGTTAAACGTGTTAACCTGTAATCAAATAAAAAAAGAAGAGGTTAATTAACATATATGTCCGGCCACATCGCTCAAGCCCCACGCCCACGACTTGCGCACCATCCAGCGCTGCTCTTCGCACGACGATGTCGCATCTCGTCATACCTTTGCACGTCGCTGCTCGTCGTTAAATGATGAGGAAACGAGGCATTCGGGACGTCTCCGCTCTCTCTTGATTTCTCCCGCTCTCGCGCCTACTCTCCCTCTCTCGTATCCGTGCGGCTCAACTTCGCTCTTACGACGCCTTCGTGGCTGGACGACCTCGCGCCTTTGACGACTCTTCCTTCCAGCGGGATCGGAAGTCGCGACACTTTGGTCGAAAGCCACAGCGTGAGCTCGCTTGCTGTGAAGGATAGGAGATCACGACAGTTTGATCGGGAGTAAGAACGGGGTCCCGCTGCTTCTTCAATTCCTTTGTGGCTCGACGACTTTCTCTTCCGGCCGGATCGGAAGTTCCGACATTTTGATCGGACGAAAGAATGGGAGCACGCTCGCTGTGAAGTAACTTTCTCTATTTCACGCTCTTCTCCGGCGCACCCTGATGATGGCCACATTGATTGAAGATCTCAACCGGAGGGATTAATTTCATGCATTTTCAAATGCCACCTCAAGTGTCCATTAAAATCCAAAAATCCAATGTCATCCCAATTTCAAGATGTTTAAAATTAAAAATCAAACCATTTAATACTTAAAGCAAAACCCATCCATCCTCCGCAATAGCTTGCCGAGGTGGACAAATTAAAATCTACTTCAGCTCATAAAGAGCTAATGTCAAGTCGAAAATATCATTAGGATCCATTCTCAAACAATCTCCTGCCAATAAGGACGTGGTAAGTGTCCTCTAACCGGCGGTTTTGCTGCCAAATGGCTCCGCAGGATAAACTGTTATGACCCGGGCCCTCTGAACAGAGTGGTTTTGCCGCCAAATGGCACCACGAAATACCGGTTATGGCCAGAGCCAATACGCTCCTTAATGGAATCAAATCCTTGAGATTTGAATCAATAATATATGATGGACAGAGCACAAAGCCCTTTGATACTTAAAGCAAAACCCATCCATCCTCCGCAATAGCTTGCCGAGGTGGACAAATTAAAATCTACTTCAGCTCATAAAGAGCTAATGTCAAGTCGAAAATATCATTAGGATCCATTCTCAAACAATCTCCTGCCAATAAGGACGTGGTAAGTGTCCTCTAACCGGCGGTTTTGCTGCCAAATGGCTCCGCAGGATAAACTGTTATGACCCGGGCCCTCTGAACAGAGTGGTTTTGCCGCCAAATGGCACCACGAAATACCGGTTATGGCCAGAGCCAATACGCTTCTTAATGGAATCAAATCCTTGAGATTTGAATCAATAATATATGATGGACAGAGCACAAAGCCCTTTGTTAGCTAAGGTGGATTCAAATTTGTCCCCTCAGACAAACATTCAACTCAGGTCTACAAGGTACCCTTGGACGAAGCAACCTATGGCTGCCGACAAGAATCCTTCTATCAGGTTGGGTCGACTACCTCCTCTAACTAAGTAGACCAGGGACCACGATGGCCCGGGACGACGGAACCATGGGATCTTGATCGGGTCTATCATCCATTCCCCCACCATCTACTTAAGTGCAAGATAGTGAAATTTCTAATTTTAAATATTAACCCCTCAGTTTCTAAATTTCAAACACATGTTGCTACTATATGCCAGATAACACGTATTATCTACGTATATGATTGACGACTAGCCTTAATCGAAAGTTCTCTCTCATTATCGGGAGGGGTAATTAACTATACGAGATTGTGCCTATAGGAAACCAGAACTCATATCATAAAGTCCTTGCAAAATGAGGGTGAAATCTCTGGGTAGTGTCTTATCTACAAACTCATTTGCCTTCCAAAATTTACCCTGAAACTTAAATCCGTTAAAACTCCCCTCGCCAAAAAAAAAAAAGAAGCAAACAATCAGCGGGTGAAGACCGGGGCCGAATTTTCGGAGCCCACAAAGTGTTGCAGAGATGAGGATGCTCAGGTGGATGAGTGGCTTCACTCTTAGAGACAGGGTACAAAATGAGCATATAAGTGAAAATGTTGGAGTAGCTCCATTGGCAGATAAGATTAGAGAGAGAGTCGTCTTAGATGAATTGGTCACATAAAACGGTTGCTTTCTGATGACCCGGTTAGAAGAGTATAAATATTATATTTAATCTATGTTAAGAAAGATAGAGGTAAACATAAAAAGACTTGGCTATAAAATATTAGAAATGACCTTTCTTTATAAGATCTAAATAAGAATTTGACTCTTAATCGGACGATGAAGAAAAATAATTCATATAGTCGATCCACGTAGTGGGATAAAGGCTTGTTGTTGTTTTTGTTGTTGTTGAGGATATTGGATTACTATAAAACGATTTGATGTTGTATATACTGGTGCAAAATTATTTACTTCTAGTTGCTGCATTGATCTTTAAGGACATTGTCAGCAAATAACAAATAAATATGTACTTAGAACTAAGGAAACAACTGATTAAGAGTTCTACTATTACTTCGGTTCAGGCTTGGCTGACAATGCAAGCCCACCACTGTAATCAAAAGCACTGCCCTTCAACTCCTTTCTAGGGAATGAGTCGTTATATAGATGACGAAAAGTGCCCTTTGGGTTTCCAAAGTCTGTTGCAGATGAAGATGCTGAAGTTGAATTTGTATTGAGTCCATCATTTTGTAAAATTGCCTCAATTTCCTTTACCACTTCACCCATTGTAGGACGATCTGCAGCTGATTCTTCAACACATCTCATAGCTAACTCTATGAACCTTCCAAAACCTGTTAGATTCACTGTACTGAGGATCAGAGGATCAAGTATCTTCTTCAGGCCATAGAATTCTTCATCATTTTTTTTCATGGACATCTTCACTTCACGAACTATATATGTGCCTTTCTCAATTGGCTGTCTTGCAGTTATCAGCTCCAGCATCACCACCCCAAAGCTATAAACGTCGCTCTTCTCAGTAAGCTGTTGGGACATGTAATACTCAGGATCTAGATAACCCTGTAATACACACATTAAACAGAAGGCATTAGGAAATCAATCTCTTAGGGGGTGTTTGGTATAGGATTGAATTCAATTTTAGTAGGATTTACTAAATCCTGTAAATCCGGATTTAGTAAATCCTATGTTCATAAATCCTTAAAAGTGATTGGTATGACAAATTGTAAATTCTGTTAAATCCAAAGAAGTTTGGCAACAGATTATAGGACGGGCGCCGCGGGAAGAAGTTCTGCAATTGTAAGTCGCATTAAATCCGAATAGAAATGAGATTAGGATTTAGATGGATTTACTGGATTTATACCGTAAATCCGTAAATCCTGGATTTATGGATTTGCCAGATTTACCACAGCGTGGATTGTGTTTGACTGGATTGATGCCAAATACTACTAAAAACGACGGACAAATTCTATACCAAACACCCCCTTAGTGTTGTGTTGTTTCAAATCTTACCTAATGAATCTGATTAAATTTCTTATTAAATGGCTCACAAGTAGGCATTTATAATGGTGGTTTTGGATCAACTGACAAACGGAAGGTGTTGAAATAGGAAGAGGAAAACTGGAAGAGATTCTCACCAATGTTCCCTTTACTTGAGTAGAAACATGTCCTTTCTCTCCGTCTGATACCAACCTTGACAGGCCAAAATCTGCAACCTTTGCAGTCAAATTATCATCCAAAAGGATATTGGATGACTTGACGTCTCTATGGATTATTGGTGGATTAGCAAGTTCATGGAGGTAAGAAAGACCTCTAGCTGAACCTAGAGCAATCCGAAGCCTTCTCTTCCAGTCCAGTTGTATTCCACTCTTTCCTATATTGCATGATTAAGCTTTGATTAGTTTTTGTTGCGCATAGAAATCTGGTTCTTAGATATCTGTCTTTGATTGAAAAACTTACCAGTCAAGCTGTCCCTTAGTGTACCGTTAGAAATGAACTCATATACAAGCATCTGCTCTCCTTGATCAAAGCAGAAACCTACTAGTCCTACAAGGTTTTTGTGATGGACCCTTGATAACAGTTCTATCTCAGTTTTGAACTCAAGACCTCCTTGCATGGATCCATGTTGTGCTCTTTTTATGGCAACTAACTGTCCAGTCGAAAGCATTCCTCTGTACACCTGAAGGTTCAGAAGTGGTAAAAATGGTGGCCATGCTATCAAAATCTTTATTTCAGGTTACTGGGAGCTTTACCTTTCCATAGCCCCCAGACCCAACTTCATTGACTTGTGAAAACTCATTAGTGCTTTTTTTGAGCTCGTCATAGGAAAACCACCTCGCTCCTTTTAGTTGAGGTGCACCTTCACTGTCTTTATTACTGTTTGCCCAGGAAGCTGAAAGAACATAGTCAATAAATCTATATATGATCCATTTTTTGAAATTTTGGTGCTTGGAACAGTTACTGAATTGAACATACAGAATGTTTAATAGAAACATACAGAATGGACGACTTATTTCCATGGCCTTCCTTGCTCTTTTCTTCTGTAAAAGTGCATAGATGCCTGCTCCTACAAGTCCCACGAACAGAAGAGCACAACCAGCTGCTATGGCAATGATCACGCCTGTACTCATTGAAGACTTGCCACCCTGATCTGGATAGTACTTTGTGTTAGTTTTTCTTGTTAGTTCTGCTAAATGAACAATGGAAATGTTACCTGGGAAAGGATATGGGGTCGCAATGAAGTAGTAGGGGCCAAACAAGGATGGAGGCTTATATGTTTGGTTGCTCAGATCAAACCCAATTCTTAGAACCTCTGATCTACTAAAGTACATTCCATCTGATGGGAAAAGCTTAACCTGCAACTCCATATAACTATCACTATTGAACATGGGGTTCTGAAGGAATACTGAACCAGGTGTTAGGCCAAGTTTCATCCAAAAACTACTCTCAAGTGATTGGAACAATGTAGCATTTGTAACATCTCGAAATAGAGGTGCTCGGAAAACCATCAAACCCTGGTAAGGGTAGGCACAATTACAGCTCTGAGGACTCAAACTCTGCCCCATTTGACATGATATTTTCCCACAATGGGTAATGCTTGTTGAATAAGGTACTGATAGTTTCTGTTGCTGTTGCTGTGGGCGGCAATATACTGTGTTTGATAACTGAGTATCACACACAGGGTTATCAATGAGTCTGCAGGAAACAAGGAACAAAAATCCATATGAACACAATGAGGTTTCATCACAGTTACCATGCGCAAAGAAAGGATTTTGGAAACAAGTTCTTACATTAGGCTTTTGTTATATTTAGAGGTCACTGTGAAAGAGCTGAGAAGATTGTCTCTGAAATTCACAATCTGCAATTGTTCACTTATCGTGTCACCCATGGTGAGAGTGCCATTAAATTGATTGATGTCAAGTATCCTGCCAAAAGTTTACAAGAGGTTAGATTGGTTTGTTTCACAACTTGTCCTACACCAAGTAGACAGATTTCACTCACACTTGTTCTAGTTGAGGAAAACTGAACAGCTTTTCTGGAACCTTTCCATGAATTCCTCCAGATTCAATGACTCTGATTATGAACTAGTTTTGTTAGAAAGTGGCTTATGAATCAAAAGCATCAAATTGAAGTGGAAAAGTTGATATAATCACTTATTAATAAACAAAAAGTTGATTTCAGTGAACTTACAGAACTGTGAGGGATGATAATTCTGAGAACCAGGCTGGAGTTTCTGAAGGATCAAAGGAGTTGTTGCTCAAGTCTCTGCGGAGCATATTAAATGGCCTTAGTTACACCATTTTTTTTTTAATTTTGAGCGTAATTGAAGTGCATTGGAAGGTGCTCAAGTGAGTTCATACACATAATTAAGGGCTGTCATTCCACTCAAATCTGGTAAAGGACCACCTAATTTGTTGTTTGCCAAGTTACTGCAAGAGCGGAAAGATAATGAGAATGGGAACAATGGAAGCTTATTGAACTTGTAAGAAGCTTACAATTCAGTGAGCTGTGTGAGGTTGTTAATGTTTTCAGGCACTGATCCACTTAGATAGTTCTTGTCAAGTCGCCTATAGAAGAGTAAATATAGCATTTGTAAGAAGAATTTAGACTACAAATTTAATATTCCTTGCAACTAAAGAGAGTTATATTGCATAAAACTCACATAACCGCAAGCGTTTGTACTAGTCCTAGAGAAACTGGAATCTCTCCTGTAAATTGGTTGCCATCGAAAAGTCTGAGAAGAGTACAAACTAATCAAATTCTGATTAACAAGTATAGTGTTCTTTGATGGAACTAAAGATAGAGAATGGAGCATCTTACAAGTGTATCAGTGACATGCTGGGGCTGAAGAGCTTGTCTGGTATATTTCCTGATAACTTGTTCTTGTTAAAGTGGCTGTTTAGATTCCAGAAAAGAACCAAAACATTTATATAAAGAAGGAATCAAGTGTGACCGCTTCATATAAATCAATAAATAGTTATTTCATTTCCAGAAGGAAGCTTACAAGTGCTTTGTGTGGAGAAGCTGGTCTAGTCCAGGAGCCTTATGTGTGGAGATTGGTAGAGGTCCACTTAGCTGATTATCGGCAAGGTCCAGCCAGTACAGATTGGAGAGGCTACCAAGTGAAGCGGGTATCTTACCGCTAAACTTATTTGAATTCAGAGCTCTGTGGAATATAAAATGGAAAGAATTGAATAAACTGTTTGGAATCATTGAATAAGAGTACTTCAAAATCAACCATGGGGATCCATACAAGAAAGATAGCTGTTGCAGATTGCCTAATTCACTTGGGATTTCGCCGCTGAAGTCGCAACCAGCTAGGATCCTTTCAAAAGAAACAAGCAAAGGAAGTTAGCTTTGATGATAAGATAAAAAATTCTCTTAAGAGATTGATGATTTCTTATTTACAAAATCAAACTTTACAGACTTACAATGTTGAGAGCTGCTTCAGGTTCCCAATATTTGGACTGAGAGGACCACCTAGTTCATTGTTGAAGGACAAATCTCTGCAGGTAGACCTTACATCATAAATATTTTCTGCTTAATTGTTTCAACTTCTACAACACTATGCTTCTTTTCTTACTCAGGCTTGGTTTGGAACCGCTTTTTATTGCTTCTTAAAACAATTTTTTAATTTAAAAATTAAAATTTTTATACTAAAAAGTTGCTTTAAGAAACAATAAGAAAGTCATCCCAAACAAAGCCTCAGTCTCATATTTTGTTTAGTTTTTTGTGTCAATCTGCTGAATGAATTTATCAAAACATCATAGTGAGCTTTGAGAAGAAAGACATACAGCGATCGGAGTTCTGTGAGTTGACCTATGTCACCACTTAGAGTACCTCTTATGCCCATAGTAGATAGTCTCCTATAGAGAATGAGCAGAAAATTATAGAAGATGGTTCAAGATAAAAAAAAAAAAAAACTTGTTTAAGGATATTCTGATCAGAATTTGGACAGTAAGAGTTTTTAAATTTTTTAATTTACTTTGAGATGAATTTAATATAAAAGTTGATTGATTACTTGTATATTGCACTTATCTCAAACAAATCCAAAAATTTTGAAACTCCTCTTGCCCCAATTTTTATTCATTCAAGTCAAGCAGAATAATAGAATGGTTTCTCCAAAATTCTGAATTCACTTACACAAAAGTGACTCTAGAATCGTTGCAAAACACTCCATCCCAGTTCGTGTCGCAAGGATCATCAGATTTGCTCCAGCTTGGAGGTGTATTCGTCCATTGACTCCTTAGAGATAAGAGAGCGGCAGCTGCAACATTACATAAGCATTTTGTGAGGTTCACAAAGCTTTCATTTATCCAAATTCATCTAAGAAGGAGAGTATGAAGCTAAACCAACCATCCTGGGGGTCTGTGGTGCCATGGCTGACCTGAAATCCTTTGAGGCACAGCAGCAGCAGAAGCCCCTTCACCGCCACATCGAAGCAAAAAGCCATGGATTGCTAGCAGGTAATTGGAACCAGGCTGGTATTAGAAGAAGTCGCTTGCCTCGATTAGTTAGGCTCCATTATTGCTCCCTTCCAACCTCTAATCATGATGGGTGATTCTGTAATCAATAGCATGAGCAGTGGAGCTGGAAAAAAGATATAAAAGCTCTCTCCTTTCTCTGCCTTCACTTAAAAGCCAATCAACCCCAGGCTGAAAAGGTCCTGAAAGCAATCATTTGGGATCAAATTTGGTAGTAAATGACATTCTAACAGCAAGGAGGTGGAGGGAGATGAAACGAAGGGAGTAGCAAGCAAAGCAGCTTTGATGGTTACTACAATTTTTTTATTTTTTTTTCAAGAGTTTGGAGTTGGCAATGGTTGGAGGCTCTTTTGTGGAGGTGGGACTTTTTTATTCTTGAATTTTACTCTTGGGATCCATTTTTTGCTAGTAGGAAGCTAAGTTGGCCGTGGAGGAGCAGTGCGAATTTTTGCTCCAGTTTTACTTTGAAGTGGTTTTTCTTTTCTTTTTTTTTATAGTTTTATCTTATAGATTGTCATCACACTTTTATTCAAATATATAATTTAATATTATTTATTTAAATTTTATATGATGAATAATTTTTTATATTCAAATCTGAAGGAATAACTGAGTCAAGCTGACTGGTGAGTTTGCTCGAGTTCGAATCAATAAATGGCCAGTTAGTGAAATTTGATGAGCTAGTGAGATAAATTTGACCGAGCTCTAATAACACGTTAGTTTTTGAGCCAGCTCGTTTGAGAAATATTAATGTTAAATATACTTTAAATTAAATTAAAAATTAATAGATTTGGTATGAAGTAATTAAAAATATTTGAAAATCATCTTTCACTTTTTTATTTCAAGTATTTTCTTATTATTTATCATTTAGTTTTTTTTATTTATTTTTATCATATTATTATAATAATTAATTGAATATGAATGTGCTTTTTTCATTCGTGTGTTGAATCGAATTTTTAAAATTAATAATTTGAGCTCGGTTCAACTCATTTATGAAATTAGCTTATTATCAAACTCATTTATAGCTTTTTAAGTGCTTTCTAAAACAAATTTTTTTTGCAAAATTTATTAATTTAAATAATTTTTATAATAAAAAATTAATTTAAAAAACAATAAGAAAATTATCCCAAATGAACAGCTTTCTTCTTACTTTTTAGTTTTTAAAACAAATATTTCTTGAACTCAAAATTTTTTACTAAAAAACTATTTTAGAAAGCATTAAAAAAATTATTCCAAACTAATCTAAGACTTCGTTTGGGACAGCTTTTTTAATGTTTTATAAAGGAATTTTTTACTACAAAATTTTTAGTTCAATTTTTTTTTGTGTTTTAAAAATTTTTATACTAATTAAATGATTTATAAAGTAAAAAAAAAAAATTGCTGCTTCAATTACTCGGTTCCCCTACGTCTCACGCGAATTTTTATTAGGTCCGAACACCTGTCGTAGCTCTACATCCGGACGCCAAGAAAATGACGCCACGTGCTCTTCTTACTTTTTACCGCGCGGCCCGACTACCCGACCCAGAACGGAAAACCGGTATTGCTATGTTCGTGTATTGCTAGGTATTGCTCGGTATTGCTAGGTACTGCTTGGCAATAACGAGAAATACCGCTCTGTCAAGACTAATACCTAGCAATACCGAGCAATACCTAGCAAAACCGGGGTATTGCTCGGTATTGATTTTGACATAATGGTATTTTTAGTTACCGAGCAATACCTTGATCTGTACAAATCAGCTAATACATAGCAATATTGGGTTCCGGTCAGGGTCGGGACGTCGGGCCGCGTGGTAAAGAGTAAAGCACGTTGCGATATTTTATTGGTGTCCGGATGTAGACCTACGTCAAATGTCCGGACCTAATAAAACTTCGTCTCACGCAGCCTTGCGTCATTAGTATAATCACGTATATGAAGTGGAATTGGATCGATAACTACGTAATCCTTATCATTCTGGGGCTACAGGATCGAGATTAAATTAATAAAAAAATTAGTAATCCTAAACTGCATAATCTTGAAGTGTTTAATACAATTAATTTAACCATTGGTTTGCTTTTTGTTCGTGATGAGAGATAACTCTTAATCTTAGTATTAACAAAATAAAATTAAAAGAAATTATTGCTTCTATCCTGCGGAGAATAAACCTTGTATTGTTCGAGGAAATGTGTGGTAGAGCAGAGTTTTTTATTTTTATTATTTTTTGAATTGAATACATACAGATAAAAGCTCATGAGTGAGAGGTGGAATAATTTTTACGTGGAAAAATCAGGAGTAGAAAAATTATGTGGCCTAATCGATTTAAATAACTCAATGTGCATGTGAATTGCAAATGAGCATCTGTTAGAGAACGATGAATCAAATACAAAGAAATAATAAATCGCAATGTGCAAAGAAAATACGAACTCAAGATATTTACGTGAAAAACTCAAATCTATGAAAAATCATAGGGGAGAAGGGGGAACAATTTACTATTGAGAAGATGAAGAATACAAAACGGCTTACAAATCATAAGTCCTCTACAAACCCTGCCACGGGGCACTGCCTCCTTGGACCCCTGTAATATATGCGAAGCATAAGATGGTGAAGAACATGAACAAACAAGGGTCGAGCTAAATTCTAGGCAACTGCAGTACCGTCAATGTCAATAATGGTGCATCAATATTGGCCATCGACGTCAGTTGACAACAAAATATAGTAGTCAGATACTCGAGTCATCATGAACATCAATAGGTTGGTGAAAGGTGGCGATGATCTTATATATGAAGGTACTAGGGCAATAGCGATTTGATAACGATGATCAATAGATATTTGTTTGGAAATGTCTGTTGGATAATGATGGTAGGTCAACGACGATATCACACAATGGCAATCGCGTGACGATAATTAGTCGCAATTATCATTAATGTTGATTGATGAACAAAGTTTTAGGATTCTTCAGATGTATGAGCTCTATCATATTCGACGGCATGAAGGTATATGTTTTTATATAACTTTCAAAACTAAATATTTTTGTTAATGATAATCAAATGATCATTAGAGCTGGTAGATGAGTGGCAAATTAATCAAATAACTTTAACTTTCAAATTAAGATTTCGTTTGGAATAATTATTTTTTACTTCTTTTTAAAATATCTTTTTAATACAAAAATTAAATTTTTTGTACTAAAAAACTGACTTATTAATTTTTGTACTAAAAAACTGATTTAATAAATAATAAAAAAATCGTCCCAAACGAACTGGACAAGCAAATAAAGGGAACTTCCGAGTAGAACTAGACAGTTGAACTTCTAATCTTAGCCTTCAAATGGAGTACTATTAAGTATTAGCCCCTGCTTAACCTAAAAATATCAACTGCTGGGACCGAAGGAATAATTCCATCTGCATCATTCTTCTATACAATGGGGTGGAACTGTTAATATGACCAGTTGCTCCAAGTGGGTGTATCTATGAGCCACAAAAATGAAAAATCTTTTCCTGGTCTTCTCACATAAATACTGTTGCGTCAGTTTATCGTCTTAGTATTGTACGAAAATCCAGCACGCAATCAGATAAGAGAGAGGGTCTAGCATTCACATGAGACACCAATATTTTTACGTGGAAAATCTCTGAAAAGGGGGAAAAAACCACGGGGCCTAGCCCAGTTTGAATTAATCCACAAGTATTGTAGTTGATTACAAATGAGGTCCTTCCTTGGTGGAAGGTCTTAGCTTGATGTACATCTTATGGAGTACATTACATGATGTTAATACAAAGAGTCATTGTTGACATGTTCGTTTTGTCGGAAGGACCGTAGTCGGAGGGCGACAGAGGTCGGGAGACTTGTAGTCGGTGGGCGACAGAGGTCGGGAGACTTGTAGTCGGTGGGCGACGTAGGTCGGGAGACTTGTAGTCGGTGGGCGACAGAGGTCGGGAGACTTGTAGTCGGTGGGCGACAGAGGTCGGGAGACTTGTAGTCGGTGGGCGACGTATGTCAGGAGGACCATAGTCGGTTGGCGACGGAGGTCGGAAGGATTGTATAGTCGGCGGGTGATGTAAGTAAGGAGAACCGTAGTCGGCGGGCGACGGAGGTTGGAAGAACTGTATTCGGCGGGCGACATAAGTCAGGAGGACC